GTGCCCCGGGCCTGCGGAGCCGCCCTCCCTCCCTCCCCAGCAGTGCCCTGGGCCTGCGGAGCCCGCCCGCCCTCCCTCCCCAGCAGTGCCCTGGGCCTACTTTCTGGAACCTGTCCTGGGCCCAGTGCCCCCAGGGGGCTCAGCCCTGGCCTCCTCCTCCCGGACTAGAAGTTTTATTTCTGTGGCCCTGCCTCTGTCAGCGGAGCCCCGGGGCCGGAGCAGGTTTCCAAGTTGAGGGCAGGTGGTCTCCAGGGGGCTGGGAGTTGGCGTGGCCGCCCTCAGCAGCCACTCAGGAGGCCTCAGGAGGCCTAGTGTGAGGGGCCTGCAGGAAGACTGGTTCTGGCAGAGCAGGGGTCTTCCTCCTGGGCCGAGCTGGTGTGCTGGGGCTCGATCCTCTGGGAAGGGAGCAAACGGGGACCTTCTGCACACTCCAGCCTGTGCCCCCTTCTCTGGGAGGCACGTACCAGCAGGTGGTCAGCCCCAGGCAAGGAACATGGGGCTAGTCCATAGCTGCTTACCATATCTTACCTGGCAAAATCTAATTCTTTTCAAAGGCCCCTTCCACGGGGACAGCCAGGGTCGCCTTGTGACAAACTCTGAGTGGTTTTGAGGAGGAAAGATGGTCTCCTCAGTGGCTGGGGAGTGCAGGGGTCCCCAGGGTCTTCCCCCGCCTGCAGGAAGCCGATGTGGCATGGGCACCCGGGCAGTACAGACTGTGCCCCCACACCAAGGGCTCCTACCTCTGGATTGGGAGCTTCTTCGGGGACCCTAAAACTGCCTGCTGGTCCTTCCTCCACCTCCCTTTTCTTGGTAGCACCTGCCCCCAGCCCTGGGAGGACTGGGTGTGTACCCCGAGCTCTCTGTCCTCCTGCTGGGACTTGGCAGATTCCCAAAGCTCCTGACCTGGAATCAACAGGCTCCTCTTCTGGTCACTTGGGTCTGGGTGCTACCTGTGATTGTGAACAGACCCAACTGGGCCTGTGCTTCTGATACATCCTCCTCCAGTGGGATAGAGACAGGCAGGTAACCGGGGGCCATGTGATCTCCTGTCCCCAGAGGCAGATAGGGTGCTGGACCACCAGCACAGGGTCATAGGAGGCCGCCTTGGAGAGGGCAGGACTGTGGCCAGCAGGGCCAGGTCAGAGGAGCTGGTACTAGGGATATGGGCTGTGATATCAGAACTAGTGCTAAATCCTGATGTGACACAGGCAGGCCCATAGTCCAGGTTCCAGGCTGAAAAAAAAAATTTTTTTTTTTTGAGGGGGTGCTGTGGCCGGAGCTGGAGCTGGCTTGCAGCAGTATCCTGGGAGTTCAGAGTGCAGCTAGGCCACAGGGTACAGTGTGTGTAAAGGGTACAGGTACACACGGGCGGGTGCCCTTTCTCCCACAGAGCTTTGCCTTACATAACTACAGTCTTTGAGCTGGAGTGAGTGGGACGGGAACAGGGACGGGGCAGAGCCATGCCACACCTACTGGGCCTCATATCAGCTCCAGGGTCACTTCCTGAACCCTTGCAACTCACAGTGCTTAGCTGTGATCTCTTTCTTTTTTAAAAGTTGGCTGGGTATCGGTGGCTCACGCCTGTAATGCTACCTACTCAGGAGTCTGAGATCTGAGGATTGTGTTTCAAAACCAGCCCGGGCAGGAAAGTACATGAGACTCCAATTAACCACCTGAAAACCAGAAGTGGGGCTGTGGATCAAATGATAGAGCGCTAGCCTTGAACTGAAGAGCTCAGGGACAGCGCCCAGCCCAGAGTTCAAGCCCCTGGACCAACAAAAAAAAAGTTGATGTCCACTTTCAGGCTTTGCTGGAGGTGAAGCCTTCAGGGGTGAGGGGGCTGAAAGCAATGTATTGGGGGGGGTGAGCTTCCATGTCCTCAGAGCAGGTTTGGGAGGAGCCCGTGGCCCCTGTGCTTTCTGCAGCCACCAGACCCTGCCGGCCGCAGGGCTGGCAAGACCCTGTGCCCCTCAAGACCCTCCTCTTTATTTTAGTGCCCTTCTCACCTGAGGAGGAACCCAGACCGGCGAGGGGCCCCTGAGCCCAGGAAGGCGAGCAGGCCGGCCGGGACCGCGAGTGCCTGGCGGAGTGGCAGGTGCAGCCTAGGACCCCGGCTCCCACCTCCTGCTGTAGGTGCGGCCCCATTCCCTCCACGGCCCCGGCCCAGGCCTGATGAGTGCAGGGCCAGTTACCACTGCCAGGGGGGGCCGAGCCTTGCTCTGGGCCTGCCGGTCTGGACGTGACCCAGCCATCCCTCTGGACATACATGCAGTACGGCAGCACCGGGGTCCTCTCGCCTGCCTTGTCCTGTCTGTCTCTTGCTGTGGGGAGAGGGCCGGGGCTGTGCTCTCCCCACTTGGGGACTGCCTTTCCCTTCCCGGCATTTCGTGTTCATCCCTGTAGGACCTGGGCGCAGCTGGGGAGCCCTTGTTTGGTCAGTTTTCCCATACTGGGGTGTCATCGAGGTGGACGTGCATCTGTGGAAAACTGGGAAGAGCTGTGCTTAGGGGTGGGGTTGGAGCAGAGATTTGGTGGTGGTGAGATCAGAACCTGGGCTGCTGGAGGCTTAGCTAGTGGGGAGCAGGGCAGTGTGGAGGGTACTGGATGCAGGCCTGCCTGGAGTCTGGGATGCAGATCTGGGAGTCCCTCCCTGGCCTCCCTTGAGCTGGGTACTGTGCGAGAGCTGAGCGTCTGAGCTCAGGGCTGCCCTGTGGCCTGGTCTAGGGCAGCAGGCCCGGCCCAAGGTTGCTCTTTAGCTGTGTCGCTCTTGATCTGGCAGGCATCACTCAGGGCTGTGTCCTCCTCCTCCCACAGTCCAGGGCCAAGGTTGGTGTTCAACCGTGTCAATGGCCGGCGGCCCCTTGCCACTCCTCCATCCTTGGAGGTACCCCAGGAGACTTACACGTTAGCACACGAGGAGAATGTCCGCTTTGTGTCAGAAGGTAATTAGGGGCTGGGAGGTGTGGCTCAGGCTGCTGGGAAGGGTCCTTGACTCTATCACTGTGGGCTGACTTTCAGCAGCCTCAGGGCTGGGTTTTCTTCCCATTTATGTCTGCTCCCTGTGCTGAGCTGGATTCCAGGGTGGCCACCAGGTCCTGGGGTGGGACAAGGTGCCAGGGGCCTGGCTCAGCTGCCCATCCCCCACAGCATGGCAGCAGGTGGAGCAACAGCTGGATGGCGGCCTGGCCGGTGAGAGTGGGCCAAGGCCTGTGCAGTATGTGGAAAGGACCCCTGACCCCCGGCTGCAGAGTGAGCCCCCATGCCCTGCACCCCGCTCACCCTGACCTGAGCCTGCCCAGGCTCCACCCCAAGGGCTTGGGGAGGGGGCTCTTCATCCTGACCTCTTCCTGGGCTTGCTGAGCTTGAGTACCAGAGGGCAGACGCTGAGGCATTGAGGGGGCAGCGTCAGCACCCAGTCCTCTGCTCCTCCTGCAGACTTTGTGCCCATTGACCTGGATGAATGGTGGGCGCAGCAGTTCCTGGCTAGAATCACCAACTGTTCCTAGCAGCTGCCCTGGGCGGAATGCTGCCATTGCAGACCTCTGCCAGAAGAGGCCTCCGGTGTCTGCCAGCCACACCTGAAGTGCCAGCGTTGGGACTTTTGCACCTGTTGTTCCCTTGGCTCAGCTGTCTCAGTTGCCAAGGTCAGGGGCTGAACCTGTTTGACCTCAATCCTCTCTGCCAGGGGCCGGCCCTGGGCCAATAAAGTTGAGAAAGTGTCTTTGGAGTGGCCTCGATGGGGTGTGTGGGGGCCTCGTGTCCAGCGCTCGTCCTCAGCCCCTCTGCCGGGCGCGCCCCCTGGGCCCGGGCTGTGTGCACGGCGCGGGGTGCAGGGCTGGCCCCGAGG